AGAAGCAGGATTCCAGTCATGCTCCTGAACCTTTGTTGTTTTTGTGATGCTGGTGCTGGAACTCAGGGTTCATGGATGTTAGGCAAGTGTTCTACCACTGAGCTGCATCCCCAAACCTATATTTGTATGTTGTATAACTTTGGCATGAGGTTCTAACTGGAGGTCAACCTTTCAGGAGCTATCACTAGTATCCTAGCCAGTGAGTAAATAGCAAATGAGAAGAGTGACAACTCCCTCTCCTCCCCCCCCCCCCCCCCCCCCCCCCAGTATGCAAGGAATGTGGTTGAGGGAAAATCTAGAAGTCCTTCCTGTACCGCGATCTGCTGGATCACCATCCTTACCACCCTGCATCACCAGTTGAATGGCAGGGAGGCCAGATTTAGTGCCATCACCTAGCATTGGTACTGTTCCCAAGCAGCCCCTCCTTTAAGCCCAGTTATACCCATCTGAAGCATTTCAGGCAAAGTGTCAGCGTAATTCAGAAAGCTTTGTCTCTTTGAAGCTGTGAGCAAGCGCCCTGAAACTTCACTCTGGGTCTCCTGCTACAGCAGGCCTAGTAGGAGGTTCATACCCCTTCCTCTAAAATCGAGAAATGTCAATTCAATATTTAACTGATTTTTTTTTTTTTTTTAACAATTGGCCTCTGAGTGTCTTTGGGGTGAGGAGGGAATGCCAGCATGGGTGGAAGAGATCTGTGCCCTTGAAAATTGGATTCTCTTTTGGAAAACTGCTGACACAGTCTCCTCAGCACAGAACTAAATGATCCTACTGTTTCTACCTGCTGACAGCCTCAGCCTTGGGATGGGCTGAAATTAGCTCTCACCACATGGCAGAGACCTGCCTTCCTCTTCTTTATTTTCTTTCATACAAATGGGGTAATTTTGTGACTATCAAATAATGAAGTTTTGTAATGTTGGTAACTAATAAAATTTTTAAAAAGAACCCCTCCCTAGCCCCTTCTTATAAAAGACACTGTGTCCATCTGAATAACTAAGGAGTTGTACAAGAAGTACTCCCCCTTTTGTAGACATTTTTTTATTATCTTCAAATAGTTGTACACAAAAATGCAGTTTAACACGACCGTGTATTTGTATAGTGCATCTTGATCACTGTCCATCATTTTGACTCCCTTGAAGATCGGTTTTTAAAACCCTTTCATTAATTGGTATTCTTCTGGGGGGGTGGGGGGGGGAACTAACAGACAAAGTTATTGAAATTCAGAAGATCTGTTGACTTAACGAGGTCCAAGGATGAAGGACCAACTTTCACTGAAGCTGCCCAGACCACTTAGCTACTCTATCCTTTCTGTAAATGAGGAGGGTTTAGAACATTTTCCTGTGGGGGAAATGAGGCTTCTCTATTGTCATTTTGGTTCTGTTATTCAATGCTGTTATCTGTTGGAAAAAGAAGAGTCCCTACCCATTTTGTGGGTACACAGCTGGCAGGAGTTGTTGCAATCTCATTGTTTTCTGACCAGCCTGGCCTTGGCCTTGTTTAGCAGCAAGCAATGTGGGGGCCCCCATGTCTGGACAAAAGGTTGTGGTTAAGTTTCAAAATAAAAAGAATCAGGCCTAAAGCATACCATCACACTTCCTATTCCAAAGAACCAGCATTGGTAAGTGTGCCACATCTCCATTCTAAATTTAGGCTTCTTTCTTTCTTTTCCATGCAAAGATTACTACGCAAACATTTAAGAGAAAAACTTTGCACAAAGTAATCTCCTCAACCCCCCCCCCCCCCTTCCCCACCCCGGACTTCTGTTTGGTTTCCTGCAATGTTTAGATGACTCATTTTCTTCCAAGAATTTTTAAAAGAAAGAGAGGCAGGCTGTATACTAGTGCACAAAGACTGCACTGTAAATTCATTTTTCTTTCCTGCCTTGAAATCCCTGGCTTCTTTATAGGGAAAGGAAAGGCTTTACAGTCTTCATTGTCATGTACTGGGCCTCATCAGGTTTTGTCCTTCAGAGGAATAAATGTACCCCTTGTCTTTGGGTGGAGCCCCCTTTTTGCAGCTTCCCAGCCCCATCCACCCCTTCACCGGGGCCTGCATGGAAGCTCTTCCTGGGGGTCATGCTTTCCCTCAAAGGCACACTCTTAAGGTTTCTGAAATGGAGAATGAGTGGCCATTTCCTGCCTTAGAATTGTCAGAATTGTCCCTGCTTACTGGGGTCTTCATTGTCCATTTTGACTAAGTTAGCTGCTTGTGTATTCCCAGCACTGCCCATCTGAGCCGGAGGGAGTGGTGAGATCCCTTCAGCTGCCTGTTCAAATAAACAGGGATAATAGTTCAGTGGTCCTCCCAACTAATCAGAACAAGAAAGGAAACATCTGCCTGCATAATTACTATTTTATTGGTTAGGCTTTCCCACCTCCACCCCACCTTTGTACTGCAACTACCTTATGTAAGTCATATGTAAGAAACAGGACAGAGGATCAGGAGCTATCTTCTATAATCCTTGCCATTTAAACATAAGGAGGGAGGTCAAAGATGCTGGAGGGCAGGGCAGTGGGAAGTGATACTGTGGTCACTTCCTGACCTTGTTGCTGACTCTGAGGTTGGTGGTGAGTCATTTCTCCCCACTCCACCTCCTTGAGTCTCTGCTGCTGCCACAGTTAGGCTTTCCTCATGATGGAAGAAGTTGAGGTATGAGAGGAAGGCATTCCCTTTTGGGCTTTCCCCTCCCCCTCAGGAGTTGAGGTCACATTGGATGAGAGACACTGAAGGTGGTATCATAAACCAGTTTTATGCCGGTTTTATGAACTGCAGATTGCAGTTCAAAGCCTACCTGAGCAGAAAGGTTTATGAGATTCTTATCTCTAGTTATCTAGCAAAAAGTCAGTCAGAAGTAAAAGTGTGGCTCAAGTGGTAGAGTGCCAGCCTTGAGCAAAAAAAGCAAGTGAGAACTCAAGGCCCTGAGTTCAAGCCACAGTAGTGGCACCAAAAAAGAAAACTAATAAAAACAAAAACAAAACAGAATGATAAGGTGTCCCTGAAGCCCTCTGTTTTGCAGAATATCTGAGTTGTTGGCAACTTGCTCATTGTCTTCTTCTCTATGGTATGAAGCCAGCCAGGAGTAGAATTTAGCTCTGATGTGGATATACAGAGCAAGTAAAGATCATATAGAATCATATAGTGGTAGAGGTTGGAAAAGACCTCAAGAATGTTTGTCTGAGACTTTTCATTTTGTGGAAAAAGAAAGACTCAAGAAGCAGGTGGCAGACAAGCTGGGACTAGGAGACTCTCATGATTGCTGATTTAGGCTTTTTTCCATCCCTTTTCCTACTACCAGGCATAAAAATGCATGAAAATCACATATATACTTTAATAGAAAATAGAATACTTTAATAGAAAAATTGGGCAGAAAACTCCTTAATAGAAAAATGGCAAAACATAACAGGAAATAGCAAAATTGGATAGATTTTTTTTCCCCCAAATAATCAGGTTCATTGGAATCAAAGGATTGCAAATTACAGTAAGGTGTAACATCAAATTGTCAAGACCAAAAACAAAAAAAAAACAAAATAAGTATTCTTAAATGCGTCTGCAGTATTTTTAATTGGCACAGTTTTTCTCAAAGTCATACTCTTTGACCCAGCAATGCTACTTATAATGGGAAATAATAAATGATGTGTGCATCGATTATGTATAAAGTAATTTAATACCTTTTAGTCACAAAATGTTGGCAGCAAGAATAAGAGCTACATCAGTATAATGTATTCTATTGTTAAGAGGAATCATACATTGGGAACTGTTCACATTTGCATGTGTACATTTACATAAATAAGTTTCTAACCAATGTTTGTAAAGAATCTCAACTTAGTAAAAAGAGGCAATGGGAGTGAATAGGAAAAAAAGTCTAAAATATTTTTTTTAGTGCTGGGAATGAAGGCTTTACTTTTGTTTTCTGTTTGTGATTTTCTAGTTTCCTTATTACAGTAAACATAGTACCTTTATAATCAGAAATTTACTCATTCACTCATTTATTATGGTGCTGAGATTTAGTGCATGCTAGGCAAGCACTCAGCCAGGGAAAAAAAGTACTTACAAGGTAACAATATATGCATCTTGAGAAAAGCAAGATCTGAAATGAAAAGCCTCTTCCTTTCTTGCTTGGGAACCAAGCTATGCTGGGCGGTATTCATTATACCTCTTTTCTATTAGAAGGGTATTGTTGGTCTCTGAGTTTTAGTTGCAAAGAACTGGAAGGAGCTGGCAGAAGATAAAATGATGTGTCTCCATTCAGTAATCAAATGATGCCAATCAGCTTTATCCCCTGCTCTCTTGGGCTTGGCATATAACATTTCATCTAGAAGGCATGGCTTTGTCTTCCCTTCCTCCTCCTTCTCTGTTTCTACTGCTCTATGAGCTTCAGTGCGTTTCGGTTGTCCTGCATAGAAACAAAGAATTTGTGGGATATTGCTCCTTGGGATTAAGTAGTAGTTGTCAGGGAGCGCTGGCTAATCTTACAAGCAGTCACTACTGAGGAAACCATTATGTTGAAAGTTTGGGGTAGAAATAAAACAAGTGAGAAGTATAACTCTTTCCTTGGAGTTTTCTGTTTGGCTAGGGAAGTTGAAGTCCTTGAGCATTTGTATAGTTTTTCCTCTTTCATCCTATTGCACTTCTTTCTGTAATCCTCTGGATTGTAGACACAAATGTCTGAGGAAGCATGTTCCACCTAGCAACAGTTGCTAGGTAGGATGTGGCATTCACGCCTGCTCTTTGGGGACAGTTGAAAAATCAAAGGCTATAACCAGTATCCCTCCATGCGATTGCATTTACTAGACTATCAAAAGGGCGCGTTTCATTTTATTAAAACTCTTTGAGTGATCTGGCCATAATTGGGTCTGATTCAAGTGGTTATCTGATTTGCTGGCTTAAATAATGGGCCTTAATTGAGTCTGTTGTTTTTAGAGCCTGTGCTGCTGCTCTTGCCTTTGTTACCCCCCTCTTCCTCCTCCATTTCCCAATTAACCTTCATTCCTCTTTCCTTGCAGAGTAAAGAAGTCGGCCAGCAGCTCCAAGATGATTTGATGAAGGTCCTGAACGAGCTCTACTCGGTAAGTCAGATGGCTTGCTTGGCTGTTTGACAAGTGGAGGGAAGCAGCCTTTGGCAGCTTGCAGCCACAGTCACGTCAGCAGCAGAACCCAGCTGAGGTTGAGGACAGTGCATGTTCCCCAGTGGGGTGACCCCACCCATCTCTTTTTCACACTCTTATTTTCAAAACTTGAATGAGCCAAAATACTAGCTCAAAATAAGATCCCTTCTTAGCTGTGCAAGTTTACCCTGGCTTCATTTGAGACACCATTCCAAGAGACCAGCCAAGGCCTAGGTTACCAAAATAGCTAACATTATTAGCGGCAAACCAGAGGACTCAAATTGAATGCAAAGAACATAGCCGGCATTGCACCATGAATATGTGCCTCTTGGGAAGGATTTATGGTCCAAGTTTTGCATCAGACTGAGGATTTGTTTTGGTTTAAGATTAGAGCAGATGCTCTAGAGGACAGCAGATTCCTAAGTGTCCCCAATATAAGGGACCAGTTCAGACAAAGTTTTGCAGACCTCAGTGAAGAGACAGGCTGGAGGCTTGCAATAGAGTACACAATGTATTCTGCAGGCATCTGGTTTCTGTAGCTGATGTGTGCTTCATACCCCAAGGGGTATGTTTTGTTAATTATAATGAACACACACTCTCACACACACACATGCATGTGCGCACGTGTGTGTGCACACACACAGGAAATTTTATAAGGGGAATACTTCATCTGTATAGTTATATTCAAATGCTCTCTCTACCTATGCTGCATCAGCCCTGTGTACCACTTTTAGGATTGCCCCAAGCTATTTGAGATAGCATTGGTTTTCCTGTTTACTTGCTTATTCCCTCCCTCCCTTCTTTCCTTCCTTTCTTCCTTCCTTCTTGTCTTCCTTCTTGTCTTCCTTCTTGTCTTCCACAGGAAGAGCAGGCAGTGTTGATATTACAAGCATTTGGGATCAGTCAGTTCCATGTTGTTGATCCAAAAGTCGAGGTGTGGTCCTTTTGTTGTAGCAACTGTTGAATAAGTAAATAGGGTTGAATAGTCATCTGACTTGTCTCCAATGATACTTATTTTTTAGTTTCTACTTTCAACCCTCTGCTCTGAAGCCAAGTAGATAGATGGTACCCTTTGGTTCATCTCCCAAGTTTTCATTTATCTCAAATAAAGTTAAAACATTTTAAAAATAGAAATGCATAGCCAGGCATCAGTGGTCCATGCCTGTAATCCTAGTTACTCAGGAGGCTGAGGTCTGAGGATTGCTTTTTGTAGCCAGCCCAGGCAGAAAAGTTCCCATGAGTCTCTTATCTCCAAGTAACTACTCAAAACCAGAAATGGCACTGTAGCTCAAGTGATAGAGTGCTAGCCTTAAGCACAAAGAGGCTTAGGGACAGCACCCAGGCCCTGAGTTCAAGCCCCACAACTGACAAAAACAAACAAAAAAATTTGATGTAAGCCATTTATACACTGGATGAGGTTTTTGAACCTTGTCTTTTCAATGCTTTACTTCTGTTCTTTATTTTTAAAGCATCTTCTAGACACCAAGATACTATTACTAGCCGGGTGCTGGTGGCTCACGCCTGTAATCCTAACTACTCAGGAGGCTGAGATCTGAGGATTGCAGTTCAAAGCCAGCCCAGGCAGGAAAGTCCATGAGACTCTTATCTCAATAAACCACTACAAAGCCAGAAGTGACACTATGGCTCAAGAGCACAGGGACAGCGCTCAAGCCCCATGATGGGCCAAAAAAAAAAAAAAAGAATAGTATTACTCCCTTCTTCTGGCAGAGAATTCATCACTAAGATGGCAGAAAAATGACACAGCATTATAGGAATCCTTTCATTTTCCCATAAGCATCTTGAACTTCTGCTATTTGCATCTTTCTCTGGAGGAGTCCATTGGGTAACTAGCAAACCCTAAACCAACTCAATTTCAGCATGCTACTTCTGTAAGGGATACAGGGCAACATAGGAAGAATGGCATTTAAGGATTTATTAACTTTTTACCCAGAGTCCTAGATCTCTCTCTCTCTCTCTCTCTCTCTCTCTCTCTCTCTCTCGTTCTCTCTGTCTCTCTCTGTGTCTCTATCTCTGTCTCTCTCTCTCTTTGTTGGTCATGGAACTTGAACTCTAGGGCTGGGTGCTGTCCCTGAGCTCTTTAGCTCAAGGCAATTGCTCTACCACTTGAGCCACAGCGCCACTTCTGAGACCTAGATCTCTATAAGCTGTGATTTAAAAAGTAAGTGAAAAAGTGTAAGCTGTTCTGGAGTGAGGAAACAAAGCCTGAAACTTGTTCCTCTGTCTGAGGGGGGCCAAGATGGTATCTTAAATGTTTCAGGACATCTAATATTGGCCAGCTGTTTCCTGACCACTGTAAGTCCACAGTCAATACACAGCAGAAAGTCTTTTCACTAGTGTTCCAGTTGAGAATTGGTTGAATGTGGTATCATCTACCATGAGATGAGTTGGCACACATATATAATTCACCCAAGTAGAAAGTTAGAACAACTGTGTGCTAGCTTTGAGAAGCTACTTGTTGTATTCTCACTCTCTCTCTCCTCTCCTCTCCTCTCCTTCCCTCTCTCTTCTCTCTCTCCTCTCCTCTCTCCCTTCCCCCCTCCCCCCTCTCCCCTGTCTCTGTCTCTCTCTCCTCTCTCTCTGAGTAAGGGAGGTAAGGGAGAGTTTTTTCCATGCAGCGTTCCCCTATTGCTTTTCAGGAAAGCAGGGAAGGACCTCTCCTTTCAGTGACCATGGAAGAAATAGAAGTTAATGATATAAGAAATCCACAACCAACCTTCCTTCCTTCCTTCCTTCCTTCCTTCCTTCCTCCCTTTTTATTTTCTTTTTTTTTTTTTTTTTTGCTTATGTGGTGCTGAGGAATCGAACCCAGGGCCTCAGGCATGCAAGGCAAGCGCTCTACCACTGAGCCATCTTCCCAGCCCCCTCCTCCCTTTTTATTATCAAGGTGATATATAGAGGGGTTACAGTTACGTAAGTAAGGTAATAAGTACATTTCTTGTCAAACTTGTTACCCCTTCCCTCATTATTCTCCTACTTTCCCTCCCAGCTCCCCCCCCCCAAGTTGTACAGATCATTTCCAGCATATTATCTTGTGTATGTCATCTGCCTCTAATGTCCATGGATACTTTTTGGGGGACCAATTACCCAGAAGTTAATACTTTAAGTATTTTCAAGCCTTGATAAAGCCCAGACAGAGTCCAGGTGTTTCCAAATAAAGATGCCGTGGGACAAGAGGCTCCAAATCCTGCCATAAGTGGCCAGCTGCCCCTCTGCACCTTCCTCTTTTCTGCCTGAAGGGTCTTTGATATCCCTGACTTGGCATTCTGTGCCAGGGGCTGCTTCCTACAGCTGCTCCTCAGACAACACTCCCAGTGAGCATGCTTCCGCATATGATACCACTCCAACCCAGCCCACCCCCAGGAGCTGGCTAGCTTGTAAGCCATGTTACAAGTGCTATTTGGCTTTTGGCTGATGTTACAAGAATGCTTTTGAAGTCAGAACATACTGCTTTTTAAATTTCTGTAGGATTGTCTGTCCCCATTATACTCAGAGGCTGTGTCTTGGAAAGCCCAGGAAATGCCCACAGGGATGAGTATATACAGAGGTTCAGAAGCCACACAGATTGAGAAAGAAGAGTAAAGCAAATTCTAGATGTGAGAAAGAAAGAATACCCCTTGACTTGGGGACATAGAAGCAACAGCTGCTTACAGAGCTTCTTCAGCCTGATATTCTGCACCTGTTCCCCTGAAACTATGCAACTAATAGGTCCCCATATCTGCTTGTCTGTTTGACTCTAGCATTAGGCATTCGAACAATACAGAGGCAGAATAAAAGATGCTCCTAAGCGCATGACATTTAGTTTTAATATGGAAAAGTAAAGAAAAGTAAAGCAGCGAGCAAAAAATCAGGTGATAAGAACTCCTTCACATGTCTGCACAGACATGTGCATGGATCAGGCTTCTCGGACAGGCACTTAAATCTTAATTTCCAGCAACTCTTGTATTGCTCTCTACATATTTTTTTGTTCATTCATTCATTTATTCATTTTCATCTAGCTCTTGTTTCATAACATGTTATTTTCACTTCTCATTCACCTCTCTGAAGCCATTACTAATAGACTTTTTCTTCTCTGAGTATATTCTGTTTCCTTTAAATTGCTTTTTTTAATCCTGCTTATTTGGAAAAATGTTATTTACCTTAAATGTCTGCTCATATTTTTAAAGTTCTCTGCACAGTGATTTGACTGAGCTGTGTCTTTGTGGGAAGCCTCCACATCAGTGTTTCTATGTCTTTTTTTTCTTGGATGGCAAGATTGTTGAGAGATGGCTCTTTCATCTCCTACTTATGTCTGGGGGCTGAATTGTGAAGGGGTTTGGGCCTTTCAGTGTTCAGTGTGGAATTTTCTATTGATTCCCTTGTTTCAAATTCACCTACCCTATCCTCAGATGAGTTCAGTAATCTCTAGTCCATGGGCCTAAGAAAATAAACCCTCAGCTTTCCAGCATAGTAAAGGAGAGAACTGGGCATCTAATTGTTCTTAGGCTTTCAGTAATTTTTCTTGTTTTCAGCCTCACTTTTGTTCCATTGGTACCAATTCCTCTTTGTATCTCTGAGATATGTATGATCTTTTAGGTCTCTCTACTTCAGGGAGTAAGATTTAAGAAATCAATTTCTACTTGTTTATCTGCATTTTAGAGTCTGCTTCTATTTTGTTGTTTTCCTTAATTTATACCTAAGTAGTACTAATGAAAATTGTTTGAGTATGCATTGGGGAGGGAGCAGAGCCAAATGCATGAATAAAGTGTTCAGTTTTCTAAAATAAAGTGAATTTAGAAGAAGAAAATTTAGACTTATGAGTCTTTCCATAATTTGTAGTTGCCTCCATATATACCTATATATCTATATATTTCTCTATTTCTTAATCTTAACTTTCCTATTTGTCCACTACTTATTTCAGTTTTCCCAAGAAAACTTAAGAGTTTGCTAATAATATTTCTCTCATATTTCCCCAAAGCAAAGAGTCAATGCCATTTAGTGTCATTAAACCATGTGGGTCATCGTTTTGCTTCTAAAGTTATTGTATATATGACATATTTCCCAACTATGGCAAAGAAAAAAGCAAAAGAGGTGATGCTTTTCTTAAGAAACATAGTTTCTTGGGCTGGGAAGGTGGCTCAGTGGTAGAGTGCTTGCCTTGCATGCCTAAGGCCCTGGGTTCGATTCCTCAGCACCACATATGCAAAAAGAAAAAAGCTGGAAGTGGCGTTGTGGCTCAAGGAGTAGAGCGCTAGCCTTGAGCTGAAGAGCTGAGGGACAGCGCCCAGGCCCAGAGTTCAGGCCCCACGACCGGACCCCCCCCAAAAAAAGAAAAGAAACATAGTTTCTTGAAGTAAAGCTTTATTCTCTTTTAATAAAGAAGTTCTTTAAGGGGAAAGGAACAGCATAAGTTGTTGGTTTTTATTAATTAAGTTGTTGTCTGTGGCAATATGCTTTGAGCTTTTTTATCTTCCATGTTCATTCATGTTCATTCTTTTTTATTCATGCACTTCATAAGAGAAAATCATTTTCTTAACAATCATTCACTTTTATTATTATTTTCTCTAGCATTTGACTCCCTTCATCAGATTCATTTGCTTCATTTGCCCTTCTTCAGCCAGGTTAACAGATGACAATTTCTCGTTTCTTATCCAACCCTGGAAAACTGGGGATCTATTTGAATTAATTAGAAAAGAGTTTTAATGCCATTGCCTGTTAATATTGTTTCTCGATAGCATATGCAGAGTATACGCAGAATAGATCTTACAAGAAATGATAATCAGGTTCATAATAAGGTGAATCTGATTTAAAACATTCTGTATCTAAAATCAGATAGAATTTAGACTCCAATGTGCTTTGATTTTGTCCATACCTCAGTATCCTTTATTCCTTCCTCTAACTCTGGATGATCCTAAGGGATTAGCTTGCTCCTAAAGTCCTTCTAACCTTTGTTTTCTCAACTTTAGCACCATTGATATTTGGGGCCAGATCAATTTTTGTTGTTGGGTCAATCCTGTGCATAGCATATTTAGTAGAATTTCTCTCCAACCCACTAAGCAATCCTCAAGTTGTCATAATAAATATATTTTGCCAGATGTCCTCTTAGGGGCAAAACAACTCCCAGTTAAAACATTGCTCAAACACAAGTCCCTACAGGGCCCTGTATAGGCAAGGACTTCTTTGTGTGTATTTAACCTTTCCTCCAAACTAGTTGGCTCCAGTCCTATGCAGAGGAGAATCACAGTTAGTGGCTGAGATCATGGAATCTCCTTCGGAGTTTGACAGCCCTCAGTTTGACTGACATTTAGTAGACATATGACTTTGAATGCCCATAGTTAATCTCTTTGAGCACCATATCTTCATCTTTAGAAATAACATCTTCCATAAAGTTATGAGGATTGGAGGAGATGGTGTGCATACAGCCTCTGGTACACAGCATGCCCTTATGTGGTGGAAATTGGTATTAATATTGTACCCTTGCTACACACACACACACACACACACACACACACACACACACACACACACACACACACACACACACACACACACACACACACACACACACACACACACACCACTCTACTTCTCTCTCTCTCAAAGAAACTTCACAGCATTAAAATTTCAGCACTCTTAAACTTCAGATTGCTTGGTTGGTTATCAAGCATTTAAATTCTCAGATAGAAGCTAAAGGCTCCCCGTGTAAGAACAGAAAGCCCTTGCAGAAGAAGGCAGGTTCCATGTGTTGAGAAGTTATATGTTTGTAAGGACTGGAAACAAACTCCAGTGCTGGCTTCCTTGCTAGGAAATACAACTGAGCTACCTAGACCATGGCTTTGGTGAAAAGTTTGAAAATTGTGTCCCTTTTATTTTATATTACTACCTTCTCAGTTACTGCCTCAGTTACTATTAACATGTCTTTTCTTCTTTCCCAGACTCTCACTTGCATCATGCAAGTCTAAAGTGTTTATAGGGCTGTTGGCTGGATCATGGAATAGTGGCATGAGTAAACTAAGCAAGTGTGTGTGTAGCAGTTGACACAAAGCCAAGATTACACTAAGTGCTCACTTAGTAAATGATAGTTGCCATAGTTGCTGATCTAGTTGTTGTGTGAGAGAGTCTAACATAGATAGAGGAAACAGTAGAGAGAGCTTTTGGAGTCTTTCCCTGGCCCTAATTTTATATATGAAAGGCTAATAATATATATACGCTATTCCACAAGCCACCCTGCCCTTTGCCTTTGGGGTCCAAAAGAGGTGTCATTGCTGCCTGTCTTCTCCATATGGAAAGGTGACTAAGTGATAAGAAATCTTTGGACCAATGTTAAGAATAATGATGACAAATGATAACAAATAGAAGTACATAATGCATGGTGAACAGACATGAAGTCATTTTAATCAAAAGACATATTAGTTCAAGTCCAATAGTGCTTTCCCTATTATTTGGAATGGTCTTTAATATATAATGTTGGCTGAACCAAACATTTCTGGACTTTTCCCCCAGGAGGGTCAGGATATTGCTTCAGGGGGGGAGTTCTGACTGAATCTGTTAGTAAAGCAGGGAATTGACCCCATTGGCTTGACCTCTGGGGCGGGGGTGGGGGTGTCTTGCAGGTGATGAAGACATATCACATGTACAATGCCGACAGCATCAGTGCTCAGAGCAAACTAAAGGAGGCCGAGAAGCAGGAGGAGAAGCAAATTGGTAAATCGGTGAAGCAGGAAGACCGGCAAACACCACGTTCCCCTGACTCTACAGCCAATGTCCGCATTGAAGAAAAACATGTTCGGAGGAGCTCAGTGAAAAAGATTGAGAAGATGAAGGAGAAGGTATGTATGTTCTGTTACCTGTAGAGGCATGGAGGAAGATTCTGGAAAGCAAGATAGATAGCTTAGTAGGTACCATGAAAACCTGAACAAGGGAACTCCAGGCTCCTTCAGTGCTTAATGGCCAAGAGTCCATCCCCTGTCAAGTTCTCTCGAACTTGGGCGTGTGGGCTCCAAGTTTTTAACTCGTAACTTAGACAATAAACAGTAGTCACCTTTCCCAGCCCATTTTCCAAATCCAGGTAAGTGGCCTACACAGGAAGTAGCTGATGGACCCTTGGGTTTGGCTTTAGGCACCAGCAGGCCAGGGGCAGAGGTAGTGATACCTTCTCCAGGATGACAGTGCAAGGATAGAAAAGGCTGTGTGAAGACAGAATCAAAGTGGGGCACACAGCTGAAGGAGGAAGCCTCATTAACCTTCCGTGAGTTGATCTACATTATGCCCTTGAATCTCATTAGTCAGAATTAGAACCCAATTTAAAGCAGGCACGCACAGGGAGTAGCAGCACAGTTGTAGTTCTTGAACATTTCGTACTTTCTTCTCTCAGAGAACAATTTCCCCAATTTAAAAAAAAAAAAAAAGTAAAAGTGAACTTCTGTTTCCTTTTCAGCGCCAAGCCAAGTACACCGAGAATAAGCTGAAGGCCATTAAAGCTCGGAATGAGTACTTACTAGCTCTGGAGGCCACCAATGCATCTGTCTTCAAGTACTACATCCATGACCTGTCTGACCTTATTGATGTAAGTGCTTAAAACTGGGGACCTGTGGGCAGGTCCTCTTTTATGGTTTCAGAATCCTGTCCACATTTCCTCATTTCGTTTTTCAAGCATCTAGGGCATATTGAGAATAATTGTGCAGATAGTAGCCCCATGCTCCATTAAAGGTTTGCTATGTTTAAGACCAGGAGATGCATCTTGCATTTGGTCTTAACCCCTCCTCACTACATTTGAGAAAGGAAGGCTTTATCATCTTTGTTTTTGATTAATATTCATAAAGTTTAGGCGACTTACAGCTAAGTGACAAAGGCAAAATTTGTACTGAGTTCTGACTCCTAAAGTCCATGTTAGTAGCAACATTTGTCAGTCTGCCAGGAAATACTCAGCAGCTTCTCCAGAGATGTGGGGACAAAAGCTAGAATGCCATACTTAACATTTATATAGCACCTCATGTTTCTCAGGAGTATCTCATGCTGTGGTCACATCGCCCTTATGGGTAAGCAATGTGTAGAGGAGAAAGGTTGGAGACTAGGAGGTTATAGGTTTGCAGTGAATTGCAAAGGGTCCTGTCTAGAAAGAATCCAGATGCCACTGATGTCTGACCCATACTTTTTTAAGATGAAACACAAAGGTGGTTGAGCAAAACAGATTAGTAGCTGTTGTATTTTACATGGAGCAAGCATCAACTTTTGTCTTTGGCCTTAAAGGTCAGCCTTGGACTTGGTCTCCTATTGCTTCCCTTTAAGCCTATAATCCCTGTGACCTGCAAACCCTAGTATGGTCCTCATGAGCCAGTTACAGGAGAACTTAGGCAAGCATATGTTTCTCACTTTTTTTCTGGTCATGAAATTGAGGGATCTGGGGTCCTATGATTGAGCATCGGCAGCCTCGTCTCCAAGCCTTCAAGTTGATTCCAGTTTCAAGGCCTAGCATGTGCCTCACTCAGTCCTTGCCAGCACCTTTGGGCTTTGCAAGCCTCTGATCACACTGCATATCCTTGCCTGCTTTGCGGGGCCAGGAGGCACCTCTGGTCTCAGACTTACTATTATATAACTGGGTCATAGAGGCTTGTGACTGAACTCTTCTTGAACCCTGTTTTGTTCCCCATTGCTCCACCCCTGGGCTAGATCATTGGTTTTTAAATCTCACCCACATCAATGTCACTGGGGCAACTTTTCTAAGATACAGGCTTCTGTCTTCATGAGTTTTGATTCAGTAGGGTTTGGCTTCTTCATGCTCTGAGTGTCATTGTTTCACAGGGGTAAGAGGAGCCCTAGTTTGTTCTGGCACCTCTTTGTTCTCTCTGCTTGTTGATGCCAATCTGAACACGTCCTTTAATGGAGGTCAAATCTCTAAACAGGATTCTTTCTCTTCCTCTGGGTAACTGTGCTGCTCAGTATTGGAAGAGAGGCCCTTTCTTAGCCGAGAAAGAGAATCAGTGCACTCTTCTGCTCACTTTGTGCTATATCTCATCTGTATTTAGTTTAAAAACAAAAGCAAAACCTCACCCTTACTCTGCTGGGTGCCACACCTCTTCTATTGATCTGTCCTCCAGTCAGTACAATGCTGACCAGAGGGGATGACAGGGTCTCCTGTGCCTAAGACATAACCAGTCAGCCATAAGACCTTCATCTGACTGAGAAGATATTTTAAAATCAATATAAGATGCACACTATTTCACACCTTATTTTCATCATATTAAGAAAAATGAAACACTGAAAGTCCTGTTAAGAGATTAACTTTATAGGACAATGTGTTGAAAAGGAGACAGTCAGCCACTTCAGTACTCAGCAGGGCACGTGTTTTCTAGAGAATTGTGGGCAAGGCCAGGGAAGTAGCATTCAGACTTTGCTTTCTGTGCTGTTGTGTTTTTAGTTTATTTTGTTTGTTGTTTATTTAAGTTTTGTTTTGGGTTGGATGAGAATAGAAAAGCTGATAATAGGGGCTGGGAAGGTGGCTCAGTGGTAAAGCACTTGCCTTGCATACATGAGGCCCTGGGTTCAATTCGTCAGCACCACATAAGCAGAAAAAAAAAGCTGAAAGTGGCACTGTGGCTCAAGTGGTAGAGCGCTAGCCTTGAGCTGAAGAGCTGAGGGACAGCACCCAGGCCCAGAGTTCAGGCCCACGACCTGACCCCCAAAAAAAGAAAAGCTGATAATATTGCCCTGTTATATAAGTATTCAGTTAAGTAATTGAGGTGAGACTGTGTTCAGATTCAAGGATAGCAATGGAAAAAATAGTATTTATCTGAGAAATATTCATAAACTCTAGTATTGTCAAATCCTGGATAACCATGGATTACGATTCATTAAGAGAGCCATGAAGTCACTTTTATGGATTTGACCTGTTTCTTTTAAATTAGGGGAATAGAATAGAACAGAATAAAATAGAATAAAACAGAGCAGAATAGGAGAAGAAAACCAGGATTCATCACTGGTATGCTAAGCTTTATTTTGTGAAACTTTGCATTAGGTTTGCATATATATGCTTGTGCATTCATTTTTGCACTCATGGATGATGGGAGGGGGAGCATGCATACGTATATGCACACACACACAAATACACATGTGTTCCTATATGAGAGAAAGAGACAGACACAGAAGGAAATATAAGATGTATAGCTTACTGTGAGCTGAAGGGTAAAAATTTGAGGACCACTGTACTAAAAACAAAGGATGTTCTCAGACTTCTCAGGTTTGTGTTTTGTTTTGTTTGTGTACTGGCAATTAAACCTAGAGCCTTGTGTATGCTGGGTAAGCACTATAGCACTGAAGCTATACCCCTTCCTTTTGGTTTTTTAAAATTCTGTTTTTGAAATTGGCTCTTGTTAACCTTGCCCAAGCTGGCCTCAAACTCAGAATCCTGCCTCTGCTTCCCAAATAGCTGGGACTACAGGCATATATCACTATATGCTGTTCTCAACTTCCTATGAAAGTTTCTGGAGAAAAGGAACTAAGACTCACTCTACCTTTGTAGCCCCTGGTTCTTAAAGAATAGGAAAATGATGATAGTCCCTAAGACAGCATTTGTTTTTCTTTTTAATGTTCTTTTGGTGTGTAATTTACCTGTGAGGACTAAAGTTAAGTGCTGCAATTTCAAGAATTTAGACCACTTTGTAACCTATTTCTCTATCAAGATTTAGGATAAATACCTTGGTGAAAGATACATTCCCATTACCTCACAAAATTTTCCTTTTCTCTTTCTAGTCAACCCCCTAATCCAAGACAGTCAGTGTTCAGATAGATGTCTTTCACTGTACAATAATTTTGTAGATATAAAACTGCATACAGATATACAGTATAGAATTTTTATATGTATCTTCTTTTGCAAAATCTGTGTTGCAGTGTCATCCCTATTTTTGGCCTCTAGGGCTGGGATGTAGCTCAGTGGCAAAGCGCTTGCCTAGCAAGTGCAACGTCCTGGGTTCGATCCCCAGTACCAAAAAAGAAAAGACAAAAAAATACAGTTAAAAAAAAACAAAAAACCTATTTTTGGCCTCTATCAATAGTTTCTTCCTTTTTCTTGCTGATCTATGCCACCAGTAGTGCTATGGAAGAGGAGTCAACAGTTAGAGCAGGAGTAAGCAGGGAGCCAGGCAGTGCTGGCATCCTGATCTCAACAGTATCCAGAACTGGCTGGAAGACATGAGGTGATCTTATTTCAGTCCATTGCCATCTGTGTTATGAGAACGAGTCTGCCTCCTTCTGGGGTCTGAAGCTCACTGTGTATTTAAGGCATTGAAGATAAGTGAAAAGAAGTTATTTTTGCCAGTGCCATTACAAAGACACAAGGACTAGCCTCCAACTTTTTTTATAGTATTCTATAAGATTTAAAGTCAGACTGTAAGAATCTACATGAGTTATACAACACACAGGGAAAAACCTCAACTTTGAGCTCATTTGATCACATTTAAAAACGGTAGGCTCTTTGGAATAGAACTTTCCTTCCCTATACTCATATGGCTCACTTGGCCTAGGGTCAGACAGGTGAATGAAAAACAGGGTGTTTGTTATCTTAGGTGTAGCTGGAATGTTGTGAGTGCCAAGTACATGGACAGAGTATGTAGCATCAGTATCATATACACTAAGGTCGCACCTGAAGGATCTTGGTTTTCCTACTACAAAATCTTATCAAGGTCGATATTTTTCCTTCCTGAGATGAACTTGAAGTGGGTGTTAATAACACCCATTTATCTTCCCTCAGTCTTTTCTAGACTCTCTGAGTGAGAATATCAGCTGGTAAAGGGTTAATGAGCTATGGACTCAAGTTATCACACATCTGGATGGGCTGTCATTAAATTCTTATAAAAATTTGATTTCCCCTGAGAGAGTTTTCATCAAACATTTATATAACCCAGAAATGGCCAGGGGATCTCGGCATGGCCACAGAACTCATCAAAAGCCATGGAAAGCATGCATTGTCCCCAATGTGAGTGAAATAATGTGCTGCCTGTACTCACGGGGTTCTCCTGGGAATAGGACAAAATATTCCAATCTCATTTACCTAACCTTGCCAGATATTACTTCTTCATTGGAGGTTTAGTTTTGCCCTACAGATATGTAGATGGTCAAGTCTCTGGGAAACCTATTCCGAATCTCACAGGTTAGTTAGCACTGTGGAGGAGCTAGGGAACACACTGCAAGTGAAACCTCCACTCAACCACATAGAGAAGTTACAGAAGAATCATATAAATAAAGGCAGCCTTGCAGCCCAGGAACACACCCTGCTTTCTTTATATACTACTGGGTAGTGAGCAACACTTGAGGATTCAGTGGCCACATCTCTTCATTTGACTTAGGTCAGCATTCACCCTATGTAGATGACTTCCCAAGAGACCAGAATCTGTACGTGTGGCATCAGTCCATCAACAGAGCTTTACTGGACACCTACTGAGAGCAAACCATAATGAGGAGGGATGTAAACAGAGCCAAACCCCTAAGACACACATTTGGTTGGGGTGATATGCAGTGGCACGCCACAGAATGAAGGGGGTGTTCTAGGGTTCTAGGTCACATGAGGGCCACAGATGAACAGAGTTCTAAGTGGAGGCCAGCGTAATGGTGGCCAGAGATGAAGGGCTGGCTGGTATCCCGGAGGCTAGGAATCTGTTTTGGATCTTGAAGATTGGGTTTAATTCCGACAAGTGAGAGGAGTGGGAAACATTTCAGGAAGAGAAAATGCTAGGAGCTCAAGGACAGAGTTTGGTAGTGCTTGCTAAGTGTCTACATGGTGCCAGAAATGTGAAAATATTTCTCCTGTTAGGCTCACATGGCTCTCAAGGCTCACATGGACCCTAGTTGAGGCTCTGAGGAATTAAGTAGCTTGCCTATGGTCACATAGCTGATCGGGTGTATATATTTTTTCCAACATTCCTCCTTACACAGAGAGTACGTCATTGGAATGGAGCAAAAGAGGTTAAGGAGAGAGGTGATGTTGGATGGGCAGACTGCAGATAGATTACAGTTTGTTCTGGTTGTTTGCCCTTTTTTGAGTTATTTAACTTCACTGAGCTGCAGTTTCCTAGTCCAAACAATTAAGATAACCTTGTCTTCATTGGAGTAATTATGAGGATTAAAATGTAGAATGTGCATAATACACTTTTATACTAGCATATATACCAAACTGAGGATGGTGGGTTTTAATCTAGAAAAAATGTAAAGTATTTTGGGTTCTTCAATGAGAGCAAATAAGTCACATTTTAGAACAGTGAAGCAGACAGCACTGGTAAAAGATCAGGTTGTGAATTAGGACAGAGAAGTGAAAATAAAGAGGAAAGGGAGGTTTCCTAAAATACACAAAGTTTCCATTAGTACTCTGTGTGTGTGTGTGTGTGTGTGTGTGTGTGTGTGTGTGTGTGCGCGTGCGTGTGTGTGCGTGTGTGTGTGCGCGCGTGTGTGCACGTGTGCATGTGCACACTGGTACTGGGGCTTGAACTCAGGGCCTAATGGTCTTGCTTATTTGCTTGTTTATGTTTTTGCTCAAACCACCTCCACTTCCTATAAAGGTTTCTGCCTCCCTCCAGTTCTTCGCCTACCTACATAAACCTTGGTCAGCATTTCCTTGGTTCCACTAGGCTTATAAGCATAGAGTTCATTATCAAGGTCTATAGAGAGCTAGGCAAGAAGGCTTACAGGTTCAAAGGCAGCCTGGCTAGTTCAGCAGCATCTCTCGGAGGAAGAAGGCCCTGCACGTGCAGCTTCCCAATCAGCTGCCTTTGTCTAGCTTCCATTTGCTCTTCCCCTGAACTGAATTTAATGTCTTTCCATCCTCTGGCTCCAGTTATGCAGTAACTGCTGTTATTCTGTTGAAGCCAGGCACCTGCCAGAGCCTGTTGGCACTGAACCCAGAACCCAGCCCAACGGATGCTCTGTTGCTGAGCTTCTTGTCAGATCCCTGGAAGGAGGAGGCATGTCACATGCTTTTCCTTCCCCAATAGTGGCTGTTTCCAATGTGATCATGATGCAAGGAAAGGCTAGGAGGAGATTAATTTAGTGCTTGCTTGTGTAGTGAAATGACAATCAGACATATGGTCTTGCTCTACCCATGGGTTCTTTGATGTTTCTTCTCAGTTTCTAGGACTCAAAGCTGCTGAAGCAATGGAATAGATAATGGATGGCCAAAAAATTTGGATCTCTATGTCTTAGTGGGGGAAGGGAGGTATGGAGTATTCAAAATGCTATTGCAAAAAGACTTTAAGAGATTACATTTAATCCAAGGATTTCTGAAACTTTTTCTCTAGTAGAAGAATTCTTTCTCTAAACCAGACCTAACATAAAAGTCCTAACATATTGAATGTAAAATTGAATAGAGCTGCTTGGTTGAAGGAGGGAAAGACTTCAAGTCCTACTGGTTGGGTTGCCCATTATCTCTTCCCAGGCAGACTGAGCACTAACCCAGGTCTTGAGAACATCTGTTCTGCAGTTTGAAAACCACTGACTTGGTCACATCTGTTCATTATACTGTCCAGAAAACAGGTTCAGGCAGGTAGGAGTCACTTTCCTAAGCTTATCTAATTCTACCTCCAGTGTTGGTTTACCTGTTAGTTGGTTGGTTGGGGTGTGTGTATATGTGTATGTGTACGCATGTGTGTAAATGTGTACATGCATACTAATACTAGGGTTTGAACTCAGGATCTAGAAGTCCTTCCCATTAGCTTTTTCACTCAAGGCTGGCATTCTATTATATGAACCACACCTCCATATCCAGTCTTTTTTTTTTTGGTCAGTCATGGGGCTTGAAGTCAGGGCCTGGACACTGTCCCTGAGCTTTTTCACTCAAGGCAAGTACTCTACCACTTTGAGCTACATTGCCACTTCCTTTTTTTTCCTGTTGGTTAATTGGAGATAAGAGTCTCACAGACTTTCTTGCCCAGGCTGGCTGTGAACCATGATCCTCAGATCTCAGCCTCCTGAGTAGCAAGGATTACAGGCATGAACCACTGGCTCCCAGCCATTTCCAGCCTTTTGCTTGTTAACTGGAGATGAATCTCATGGACTTTATTGCCCAGACTGATTTCAAACTATAATCCTCAGACCTCAGCATACTGAGTAGCTGGGATTACAGGCCTAAACCACCAGCATCCAGCATTGTTTTGTTTTAAATACAGTTGTCTCCCTCATGTTATTTTGTCATTTTTGGTCTAAAAATCAGAACCTATTTCAAGCTATGAATTTCCCACTAACACGTTTAAAATTTGCTTGTCTTCTAAATGTTGTTTCTGTAGGGCAGGCACTTTAGGACAGATTTCCTGCTGTGCAGTTCAGGCCTGTCCTAGAACACTGAGTTGGTGGGATGATGACTAATAGTCAACCTCCCATTCTCTTCTTCTCCCACCTAAAGCTGAATTTGTAAGAATTTCCTGCTGCTGCAGCATTCTGGATTTTTGACCCCTGAAGGCTGCAATAGCCTGGCATGGTTGGTATGTCATGACTTAACCACAGCAACCCTCAAGGAATAACAGGCTATATTGTAACTGTTGAATTTTGTCATAATGGCATCACCAGATAAGTCACAAAATAGAAGAGAATTCTTTAACTCTCAGTCCTTCTCATGTTTAGGGACTAGCAGTAGCTAGTACTTGATAAAATCATGTCACTGGGCCCTTATCCATACTTTTCTGTCTTGCCACATTACCATTCTCTAGGGCATGTTTAAAACCGTTGAATTGGGAGGCAAGAACTGAGAAATCTCACCCAGATCTCAGAAGTCATTATGTCAGCCTTCTTTCCCCTCTACAGCTAGGTTCCTTGAAGTAGTCAGATCTGCCCTGGGGGTCAACTCTTTCTGTCAAGCCTTGAGTTGTCTGTGGTGTGCTCATGTGTCTTCTCCTTCCCACAGCAGTGTTGTGACCTAGGCTATCATGCTAGCCTGAACCGGGCCCTACGCACCTTCCTCTCTGCTGAGTTGAATCTGGAACAATCGAAACATGAGGGTCTTGATGCCATCGAGAATGCAGTAGAAAACCTGGATGCCACCAGTGACAAGCAGCGCCTCATGGAGATGTACAACAATGTCTTCTGCCCCCCTATGAAGTTTGAGTTCCAGCCCCACATGGGAGACATGGTAAGGCCTCCTGCATGCTCACATATACCTGCCCCAGGCACTTGAGTATACTTCAGTGTAGTTTCACTACACAGAGGCTATGTTATCCTGCAGGGAGAGAGCTTCCTACCAGGTATATGAGGCACTTTCCTACTCCTTTGGTTAAACAGCCCATGAGCACCTACTATCTTCTAGATTTGTCTGTGAACTTTGAGGATCGGAGTCCTGAGGTAGCTTACTGTCTGGTAACTAAGGTTGGGAGAGAGTTAGAAATAGCCATAAGGAGGGAACAGCTGGTGTGTTCTAAAAATCATTCTGAGTTCATGATTGTGTAAGGAAAAGTAGAGGAAGAGGCACTCCTAGTGGTGAGGCTGGAAGATGAGCTGAGGTGTGGCCAGGCCCCAGAGGCTTCTGTGGGGGAGGAAAGTCTAAGCAGAGGAATGATGTGATCTTTTGTCATTTGGCAGAGACCTGGAGGATCTATTCTCCTGAGTCTAGAAGATTGGAATGAAGGGTGTAGCTTGCTTGGTTAGTACACATAACGTACCTCTAGAAAGGACAGGAGCTGAGCTGGAAGGTTTGGTACTGATTGGCCCAGGCTTGGGAATGTGAACATAGGGGCCATATTTTGATTTTGTCAACTTCAGTGACTACAATAAAAGGGGTCTAGATAAACTAAAGCGAGAGGAAACAGAAGCAGCATACCTTTCATTGTTCTGAGTCTTTTGTTTACACTTCTTTTGGTTGTACATCCAAAATATAAAGAGGGAACCTCATTCCTGCAGGTAGGAACCACCATTTTACCTACCTATTAATGCAAGGGAGGATGTAATGGGCTTACAAGACAGAAATAAGCAGGATAGACCTTCAGGCAAGGCTGGATTTAGGAGCAGGAAGTTTACCAAGACGGTTTTTCTTCTCTCTTTTCATTGCTATTCTTAGATAGGCCCATATTCCATTGGAGGCAAGCCCGCCTCCTTACAGGCTAAAATCCAGTGGGAAGAGTGTCGCCCTCCTTAAAAGCCTCACATAGGTCTCACTGTGTCTTGTTGGTTTTGATTGGGTGATGTGCTTACTCCAGAGTCAGGTATTGCAGCTAGATATCCATTGATTTACTGAGTATGAGCAAAGAAGAGACCAAAAAGCAGCAATGTTCTCTCACCAGGAATGAGATGTCTTACTTTTCACACTTAGACTAGAAAGCCCTGCTCCAGAATTACAACTGTAGCAGTATAACCAAACAATTCACTGTCATCAGTACACCCCCATGGAACATAGGACATTTCTATCCTGTAGTCAAAAATGTGGAGATGAGTTCTTTTTTATCCTTCTTGAGGAAAACCAGCTTCCTGACAGTTTGTTTCCATTGCTGTGGCTTAGGAGTTGTCAGCATCTGAACAGATGGCAAAGTGAGATTTCAGTATGTGTAATTAGGGTTGGGGAAAGGGATATCACCAACCCCTCCCAGGAAGCCCCATTCCTCACCTGCCCTGGCTTCTGGTCAAACTTGCCTTCCAGTCCCTTTTTTCCAGCTGCCACTAAGATCATTCCCAAGAATCAGCAAAACTTAGGGACTGGCTGAGGGGAGTGATGCATTTTTCTAGTGTTGACTGAGTTTCCTTCTGAGCCAAACAGCTTGTCTCCATAAAGGGGGAATCCAGATGCTGGGTACTCAGGCTCCTCCTCGCCCTGTCAGATCCACATTTCCATACTCCAGAGCACAGCTGGAGTGCATTACCTTGCACCCTGGTAGAGGATCATTGCCAAAGCATGCATCAGCAACTCTGCTGCTTCTTAAAGGAACAGACCTGAAGGTGAATTTCCCTCCATGATTTCTCCTTGAAAAGTCTGGGTTACTTTTTAAAAAATCAATAGCTCATTTTTTTTTTTTTTTCTGCCTGGGCATTTCCTTTATGTGATAGGACTGATCAATGACTGAGCCAGGCAGAGTCAGGGCCAGACCTGGAGCTTTCAAAGGTTTTAGCCTCACCACCATAAGAGTAGAAATAGAAAGAAGTGAGAGTGCAGGTCATTCTTGCTCTCTGCAGCCAGTCTGGCCCCATCAGTGTGGGCTTTCTGTAGACTGTGGAGGCTGCAGGAGGGAGCTGCCTGGAAGTCCTTGAACTAGGGCCAATGCTCGGGTGGCATTCTGACCGGAAGTCCTGAAATTGGCCTAAGTCCCACACTGACTGGTGTTCTGGGGCCCTCAGCACATTGATGCCAGGCACTCCCAGATGTAATAGGAGGTGGTTCCTGGCTCCACTTTTGGTGCCCCCAGAGGTTTATGGGGCTCTGGATGCCTGACTGGTGACATCAGGCAGCCCAAGAATTTCACTCTTGGCACCAACCCATTCTGGCCATTGAGCTTTCTCCATTGTGTCTGCTTATCTAAGAGTCAGAGTAAAGTCAGCCCTGTTATGATCTATGTGTGGGCTTGGGCCAGCCTCTCAGCTGGGGGAAGAGGTCACATCAGTTGGGAGCTTAAAAGCCAAGGAGGAAAAGGTCAAGTTCCAGCCCCCTGTCATTTGAAGAGAGACTTTTGTTTTTCAAACAAGGGAATGGTCTTTGAGCATGTGAATGCACCCACTTCTTGCTGAGGAACAAGGAGCCCGGTTCTGTCCAGGTGTGCCTTTTCAGACAAGAGACAGGTAGCAAGACAACAGGAGCTGCCTCCACATGACTCCTGACTTGCAACCAGCCTTCTGCTCTTCATCAGTCACCCTGGGAACTGGGGGAACCTAATGCTGGAGTCACACCCCTGTCAGGAGACAGAGATCAGCTGTCACTTCATAATAGTAATCCTTGGGGAAGGGCAGGTGACAAAGAGTCCTCTCCCACACAGATCCTGTGCAGACCTAGAGTAAAATAATAGCTCTGCCAGATTCCTTGCCCTCTGGAGCCTTCTAGCATAGCTTGTGAACTCGTTCCCAGCTTCAGGCTCTCTCTCATTGAGTCAGAACTCTCATGCATGGCCCAAATTTATAAACACATGCTGGCTGCCAACAGCAGCAAGTTAGCCTCCTGACCCACTTCTCTCCTACTTTCACTCTGTTACATGAAGGGGGAGGTGGCCACTTGGACCTCAGGCAGGAAATCCTTGCTGTGCCAAAACATTGTGTTCCTAGAGCTGGGTCTGTGGAGGTACTTTTCCAACCTTCCATGGAGCTGCCTGCCTGCCCTGCCAAGCACCAACCTGCAGATGGGCTTCCAAAGAGGAAACCCTTGTCTTTCCAATCATATGCCCTTCCCATTCCTTTCAGGTGTCTATTTGGTCCTAGAAGGGGTCCATACATGTTGGGGTTTTTTCCACATACGAACTGCAAGTCTTACACTTTGAATATGATGAGTTTTGTGAGCAGTAATAGGAACTCCAGAACACCCAAGAGCAGTGTCCTCTTTCTGACCTAGTATTCCTTTCTTCTGGCAGGCTTCCCAGCTCTGTGCCCAGCAGCCTGTCCAGAGTGAGTTGGTGCAGAGGTGCCAACAACTGCAGTCTCGCCTATCCACTCTGAAGATTGAGAATGAGGAGGTGAGTTTGCCACCTAGGAGGCTCAGAGCCACTGTCTGCATGGTGCTATTGGCTTCTTGCTCCTGCCTCTCTGGGAGCAGGTGGAAGGAGCATGCAGAGAATGTCCGGGCTGCCACAAACATTTCCTAGCCAAATGTAGGCTTGGACTTTCCCCCTGATACATCCTGCCCTTGAACTCCAGGAAGTTGCTCTTGCATTGCCAAAGGTTGTGCTCTATTTTGAGCTTTTACAAAATGCTTTTTTCCCCCAACTACACAGTTAATCAAAATGGCACTTGGCAGCTGTGTGAACGATATTGTGTCTTAAAACCACCCCCTCATGCCTGGCTTTTTCTAGCATTTTCAAACAAATAGAGGCCTTTGACTTTGACACTTCAAACATCTCCATCCTCTTAGGAAAAGATGACTTTCTTCTGGCCCAGCATATTTTCTTTCAGTAACTACTTCAAAAGAGCAGTTTGAGTACCCAGCTTTCTGCTGAGCTCACGTGGCTTCTTCCCTTGTATCTCAATCTTATCTTCCTAAGAATACTGGGAAGTAAATGGGCTAGATTAGATTACCAATAGGGGAGCAAATCCATTGACTCATTCAAAGTCATGAAGCAGAACCAGGGGCATTACAAGACTATGACCCCATTGCACATTTTAACTATCTCTTTGTAGGATAGTGTTGATTTGGATTTGTTTTATTCTCTTTTCCTTAGCACATCTATTGTAATAAATAGCTATTATTAAAGTTTTAAAACAACCATTAAGTAAAAGAGCTGAGTCAAGTACATAGTACGAATTGGGTAGTGGTTGTTAGATCCCCACTGGAGAGGGAAGCATGCTAAAGTGGAGACCACGTATGCTTCTCACTCACTTAGGCATGTTGTGTGAGAAGTAGAGCTATACCATCTGCTGGCATCCTCCATCTTTCCCCAGCCCACTGCCTTTCATACTGCTCCAGGCTTCTTTATCACCTGCTACTTTGCAGCCTTCCCGCCTCCTGTGAATTATGTTGGTCTTGTCATTATAGGTAAAGAAGACAATGGAGGCTACCCTACAGACCATCCAGGACATTGTAACTGTTGAGGATTTTGATGTGTCTGACTGCTTCCAGTACAGCAATTCCATGGAATCTGTCAAGTCAACGGTCTCCGAAACTTTCATGAGCAAGCCTAGCATTGCTAAGAGGAGAGCCAACCAGCAAGAGACAGAGCAGTTTTATTTCACGGTAAGGGAACTTAAGAAGCACCAGCAGTCACTGTGGCACCTGGAGGGGAGATTCAGAACTCAAGGTCTTTGTCAGATGTCTGAAAGGCAGGCCTTGAATAGCCTAGATCAAACTCAGGGCATACTTGGAGACTTCTCTGCACTTCAAGAGACAACATGTGCATACTGTGTATGCCAGACACGAATCCCAAGTGAAGGAATGAATACTCTCTGATATTAACAAGAAGATAACTTTTAAAAGTAATTTTTAGCTAGCTAGTCCTCTGAGCTACAGGGAATCAAGATAGGAGACTTTGTCTCTTGGTTCTTAGGAACTATATTCAAATAACTTGGCTAACATTTTTTTTTCTAGGGGAAGGGATAGTATGGGGTTTGTATCCAAGACCCCCCTACCCCCTTTATGCTTTAATTACTTTTCAGTCAGGGTCTTGACTTTTTCCCAAGGCTAGCTTATGATTGAAATCCTTGTACTTAATACTTCGTGTATATCTAGAATCACAAATATCACCACCATACCTAATTTATTTCTTGAGTTGAGAATCACACTGACTTTTTCTGCCTGGGCTAGCCTTGAACTGCAGTCCATCCGATCTTTCTTTTCAAGTAGCTGTGAGCCACTGTACCCAGCCCTTAGCTGGGTTCATTTTAAAAAGTCTAAAAATCGCTTCCAGGTGGCTTACCTATTGTTGGGAAATTATTTTTCATAGTTATTTCTAAAATTTAAATAAGGAACTCATATATGCACCATGGTTAATTTTCAGAGAATTCTAAAATATTGTCTCTTGTTGTCCGTGTATCACCAACCTCCTTTTAGACAGATGATGGACCTATTTTTTTTTTTTATTGTGTTAACAGTCCTTTGGAAGGTTGCTAGCTGGTCTTTGGTGCTACTTTTTTTTTTTTGAGTCCGGTTGTGGGGCCTGAACTCTGGGCCTGGGCACAGTCCCTCAGCTCTTCAGCTCAAGGCTAGCACTCTACCACTTGAGCCACAGCACCACTTCCGCCTTTTTTCTTTTTGCTTATGTGGTGCTAGGAATTGGACCCAGGGCCTCATGCATGCAAGGCAAGCACTCTACCACTGAGCCACCTTCCAGCCCTTGGTGCTACTTTTTAATAATTAAGTTATTTTGAGCTTGCCAAATAGGATTTATTGCCTGGATTAAAATTTATTTCCTCCTTTTTTGATGACCAAGAAAGGAAACATGAAGTTTGCAGATGTGAGATGAAATGTGGCCAGTAAATATGTGTACTGATCCTGAGTGAAAGAAATCAGCTTGTTTTTTAGTCATGAAGCATAGTCTGCCTTCAGTAAAATTGAATTTTTCTTCCAACTGGAATAATTTGTTTGATTCTTCTTTGAACATTTCCCTTTCTTCATTAAGAACACTAATGATTTGCTAAGTTTTTTTTTCTTAATTCGGTTTTTTTAATTAGTTAAGCTCAAAATCTTTGAGGTTTTTTTAATCCCAGAGAAGACCGTTGAAAGGGAGTGATTGAAGAGTATTATTCTTCTAAAAAAACTGCTATACAAAGAAAAACATGCTCATTATATGAAACTTAGAAGTAAAAGGAAAAAAATAAAAATTATCTGTAACTATACTGCCTAGAGATGTGATAGTTTAGGTAGAATATATCTATATACCCCTCCAGTCTTTTTTTCTCTCCATCTACAAAAACATATATAAGCTGGGCACTGGTGGCTCATGCCTGTAATCCTAGCTGCTCGGGAGACTGAGATCTGAGAATCATGATTCAAAGCCAGACCAGGAAATAAAGTCTATGTTTATCTCCAGTTAACCACCAAAATGCCAGAAGTGGTACTGTGGCTCAAGTGGTAGAGCATTAGTCTTGAGCACAAAAGCTCAAGACAATGCCCTGGCCCTGAGTTCAAGCCCCAGGACCAGTGTGCATGTGCACAAACACATACACACACACATAAAACCCAAAACACTCCCAGAGCATATAGTATATATTTCTAACTTTACTACCCCAAATGGGATATTGCTATGTATGTTGTTTTAATTTGTCATTTAATTCTAACATTTTCTAAACATATATATGAGTAAAATACCTAACATCTATACAAAGAAATGATAGCATGAAATTTTGACTCATCCATTTCTTTTTTTTTTTTTCTTTTTTTTGGGGGGTCCGTTCACGGGGCCTGAACCCTAGGCCTGAGAGCTGTCCCACAGCTCTTCAGCTCAAGGCTAGCACTCCAACACTTGAGCCACAGTGCCACTTCTGGCTTTTTTTTCTTTTTGCTTATGTGGTGCTGGGGAATCAAACCCAGGGCCTCAAGCATGCAAGGCAAGTACTCTACCACTGAGCCACCTTCCCAGCCCCTTGACTCATTCATTTCTATAAAGTATTTATTAACACATTGTGTAGTTTGCAGTGTTCAATAACTGCTGAAAATTAATTTTTATCACTATTAATTTATTCTTTTTTTTTTTTTGGCGGTCGTGGGGCTTGAACTTTGGGCTTGGGCGCTATCCCTGCACTCTTCAGCTCAAGGCGAGCGCTCTACCGCTTGAGCTACAGTACCACTTCCATTTTTCTAGTGGTTTATTGGAGATGAGAGTCTCACGGACTTTCCATCCCGGGCTGGCTTTGAACCGTGATCCTTAGATCTCAGCCTCCTGAGTAGCTAGGATTACAGGCGTGAGCCACTGACGCCCAGCTTTATTCATTATTATTAAGTCACTTACTGATCATGTATTGCAGACTTGCTATATGTAAGATCTGTGCTACAAGCTGGGAATGCTGAAGATGTAAAAGGAAGAGGGGATGATAAGACTGGATATGAAAAAGGAAAACTTTCATTTTTAATTTCTTTATAGTTTATATTTTTCTAAACAATTTCAGTGGATTATATTTTGGAATTTAAGAAGAAATATCCCATTGTTTGAGATGCATGCATGCACATGTGCATGATTAGCAACCAGGATGAAGGACACTAGGAAAGCATCATACACAAGGTGACTTTGTGCTTGATCTTGAAGGACAAGTGAACTGGGCAGAGAACTGGAGAGAATTATATTCCTTAAGGAAAGAGCAGCATGTGCAAAAACATAGAGACATGCAGAAACCTGGGTTACATGTGGATAGAACCTCATGACTCCAAGGGAGGCAATGTTCCTCCAACTCTCATTATCTAAGAATGTTCTCTAGAGGCTTTTTTTTTGGGAGGGGGAGAGGGCAGTGCAGGGGATGGGAGGGAGCTTGAACTAAGGACCTGGGTGCTGTCCCTTAGCTCTTTTGCTCAAGGTTAGTGCTCTATCACTTTGAGCCATGGTCACTTCTCATTTTCTGGTAGTTAATTGGAGATAAGAGTCTCATGGGAGGCTGGGAAGGTGGCTCAGTGGTAGAGTGCTTGCCTTACATGCATGAGGCCCTGGGTTCGATTCCTCAGCACCACATAAGCAAAAAGAAAAAAGCCGGAAGTAGTGCTGTGGTTCAAGTGGTAGAGCACTAGCCTTGAGCTGAAGAGCTGAGGGACAGCGCCCAGGCCCAGAGTTCAGGCTCCACGACTGGACCCAAAAAAAAAAAAAAAGAGTCTCATGGCCATTCCTGCCTGGGCTGGCTTCAAACAGATTCTCAGATCTCAGCCTTCTGCATAGTGAGCCATCAATGCCTAGCCCTAAAGGGTTTTTAATAAATACCAGAGTTATTCAGCTATTTTGTCTGGGCTTCTTAAATATAAATGACCTAATCTTGTGACATTACAAAAGATTTCCACTTTTTAAATTAAGAAGTTTGTGACATAAAATCTGTACCTAAGATGGTTTTTGTCAGAATTACTTTTTGGCTTAGGTGAATCTATAACATTTGTACTCAGAGTGGACCTATTCAGAAATGGCCCTATTCAAACTGTGACCTCTTAAATTCTGCCTACCTTTCTTTACCTTATATCTAAATGTATTAGTGTCCTATAATACATTTTCTGTCTTTTGTGGCCATGATGCTACTTATCAAAGTGATGTGCAAATTTCCTTGGCTAACAGGAATAGTTTTCGTCTGGGCTTGTCCAGCAACAGATTTACAAGAGAGTTCATCATTTTTGTGACTGCTGCCTGAAATGTGTTAGATAATTTATCTCATGATTAAAGAACTTTTTTTCTTTTGGATAGTGAATGCACATTTGAGAAAAGGATCCCACGTTAAATGAGGCCCAGGCTTGCCAAATGATACAAAGCCCTCTGGTGCTTCTACAAATGGTTCCCTCTTCGTTTCTCTGTGTCCTTCAAAAGCATTAGAACAGTACATTTTGGAAGATTTCTCTTAGAAAAATTGAGAAGAGGCTCCTTGTTATGGCTTGACTCCTAGATAGTTGTTCTGATGATTAAGAGGTCTGCTGGGACAGTTTTCTGTCAGCTTGTGGCTGTCATCAAATTAATCTCAGGTGACATGAATTCAAAATTTGAAGCATGTCCTAAAAGCTCATTCCAGGAATCTCAGGAAAACTACCATGAAATTTTAAAGTTTGAAGTGATTTTTACAAATTGTATAACCAGCCAGGCACGGATATCTCATGTCTGTTATAATTCTAGCTACTTGGGCAGCCTGAGATCTGAGGATCACAGTTCAAAGCCAGCCAAGGCAGAAAAGTCCGTGCGACTCTTATCTCCAATTAACCACAGGAAAACCAGAAGGGCACTGTTTCTTAAAGTGGTAGAGCACCAGCCTTGAATGAAAAAGTTCAGGGACAATAATACCCAGGCCCTGAGTTCAAGCTCCATGAGTGACCAAAAAAAAAAAAAAAAAAAACCATGTAACCCAATTTTGGTCACAGTCTTCAGCAATAGCTGTCTGGTCCCAGGTACCAAGCTTTTCCTCTGTGCACTGTTGACGCAAAGCTAAAGGGAAAGGCTCAGAAACAGTGAGGTATTTTCCTCCTCATTTGCCATAGTCAGGCGATAGATACCACCTAGTATCCCCAACTTTGTCTATCACTCATCTGTAACATCATTCAGAAATGTCTGCTTCTTTTATATTGTG